TTACTTATTTATTTGATTTGGGGCTTGTTTTAAAATTTCAATTTAGTTTTGTTATTTACATTTACATTGTATTTAAATTTTGTTATTTAGCAAACGCTTTTATCCAAAGCAACTAACAAATGAGGATAATAAAAGCAATCAAAACCAACAAAAGATCAATAATTTACAAGTGCTATGTTAGTATATTATTATAGCGTTAGCCTATATTATAATTTCACAAAGAAATGTACAGTATTTTGTCCAAGCAATAATAAATGGACGCATTTAATTTATAATTTGTCTTAAATCTCATTTTGTTAAAAAAAATTGTGAATCGAATCGTAAAATCAAAATCGTGAATCGAATCGTGAGTTGAGTGAATCGTTACATCCCTACTTGTTAGGCTACGTTCACACTGCAGGCAAATGTGGCCCAAATCTGATTTTTTTGCTCACACGTGACTCGGATCTGTTTTAGTCACGACAGTGTGAACAGCACAAACTGCATGGAATCTGACTGAATTACTTTTTCTTTTTTTTTCTTTTTTTACTCGCAATTAAGTGTATATCTCACAATTCAAACTTTTTTCTCAGATTTGAGTTTCTCACAATTTTGAGTTTACAACTTACTTAACATACAATTGTGAGTGTATAATTCGAAATTGTGAGATATAAACTCACAAATCAGAGGGGAAAAAAATAATTGCAAGATGTTAACTCAAGTTTATAACTTTAAATTGTGAGTTATAAATTCAAAGTTCTGAGAAGAAAAGTCCCAATTTTGTGAGATGTGTTTTGTGAAAGAAAAGAAAGTCAGATTTGTGAGAAAAAGTGGCAATTACCTTTTTTTATTTTTTATTCCATGGTGGAAACAAACTTCCATATCTTTCACTGTATTTTATTTTATTTTATTTTACACCCAACCTGTCTCAGAAAAATGAGTATGCTACATTATCCCAGCTCCATAAAACACTGAATGCAGCGTGTCAGCCAACTACACCTGTAAGGCCTGAATCAAATCTCCTCCCAGTGGAGTTTTGGGGTCTGAGCAACATGTGGAACCAGCACCGTGCAATATAATGAGTGCTAAAACTACCATCAAGATGTTGAGGCCAAAGTACATGTGAATGTCTGGTATGAAGTATTTGTGTTAATAATAACCATAATGAGATCTTTCTCACCCTGCGTTTTGGTTTCAAGCTATACTTTTATTAATCTCTAAACCCCTATGGTCCAAAATAGTTTAGTTAAATTGTGTAATTGCAGAATGTGGTTATAAAACAATGGGTGGACTTGTTAAATAAGATTCCTGGAAGCTTATGGGCTCATGTGGTGCGTGAAACCCCCCAAAACAACCCCAATTCCCAATTCCAAACTTAGCCTGGCCAGCACAAGTCAATCTTAGCTTGAAAGAGCAAGCAGCTGCTATATTATAGACACTTGAGCATAGCACAAAACACTGTGGTATTGTTTCCCAACCCCAGGCTTTGCATTACTCAGTTACTCTGGGAAAAGGCATGTTTTGGACTGAATTGTAGCCTTTTAACACTCTGCCAGAGCGTTTAACTCAACATTAGGAGTAGAGTAGTGCCGAAGCTCAGTGTCTTGTGTCTGTTTTCAGGTAACAAGGAGCATCTCAAGCAAGGTGTCAGCTGTGGACACTCACACACGTAAAATATATCAGTTCACAAGCGCTTTTGGATTGTTGGATGCAATTTTGTGGGAATCGCAGTGGTTAGATAAGATATGTTCTCACACATTGTGGCTGTGGAAGTGCTTGAGAACCTGGCAGTACAAAGAGATCTGTGTTGGTGTGGAGGACAGTACAGTGACGTTTGTGTGTCAGACGCTTGCAGTTTCAAATCAGAATTCACCCAATTAACTTTCTTGTTGTGTATGATTCATCTGCCTGTTATTCTAATTAAAAAAATGTCTTCATAATCTTGTGTAAACCCTTCTTATTTTTTTAATTCCTTCTTTTCAACATCCACTCACATGTCTGTCTCTTTTTTCGTTCTATCATTCTATAATTCTATAATTCTGTCGTTATCTATCTATCTATCTATCTATCTATCTATCTATCTATCTATCTATCTATCGTTCTATCATTCTATCTCTCTATTGTGCTATCGCTCTATCTATTGTTCTATCTATCGTTCTGTTGTTCTCTCTATCATTCTATCTATTTATTGGTGTATCATTCTTTGTCTATCTATCATTCCATCGTTTGTTCTTTCTATCATTCTATCTGCCATTCTGTCTATTTACCTATCTATCCAAACATATTGTGCTGTATAATCATTGTTTTAGAATAATTAGTGTTTGCCTAACATTTTCGATTATATTTTTCAGTTTTTTTTTTAAGGTTGAAAATTTCTATCTGTTTATATAGATGTGTGTTCATATGATTTCAGTATCCAGGCTAATCTTTAGTTTTTTATAGGAACAGGAAGAGAATAAGGGGGCGACCAGCTGGCCTGAATTCTACATCGATCAGATCAATTCTATGGCTGCTGTAAGTATGACTAACAAACTAGACAGCAAATAATGAACACTTCCCTGACCACACTCATTTCCGTCTTTGCCCTGAGGACATAAAAGTCTCTTAGTCAAGAGGGAGTCATTAAACTCACATATGTTGCCCTTAAGGAAGTTGTTGGGGATGTAGGTGTTGATCAAGTGGTAAACAACTATAAATATTTCATAGCGCAAAGGGTGCTGATGCTCAGATAATTGGTGAAGCTATAAATTCATTCACATGTTATAGCACACTTTTCCTTTTGTATTACAGCTAAACTTTTTTTGTGGTGATTTTTTTTCCCAGTTTATATGCAGTTAGATAATTTAACAAAACTCTTACCTGGCAAACTTTGGACAGTCCATTAATTATTCGCCTCCATTTTAAATATCACCACCAGAGAAAGTCCCTGCTGGCCCTAGAGAAGGAGGATGAGGAGGAGAGGAATAAGACTATAGAGAGCTTGAAAACTGCTCTCCGCACACAGCCAATGAGGTACTGCCTTACACACACACACACACACACACACACTCTATGGGTCATTCCATGACAGTATAATTCTTTTTAATTACTCTGATTAAGCACATTGCCTTACACATGGCTGTGTGCAAATGGAGCATCTCTCTTTCACTTAGTGCTTCATTAAATTGTGTTAAGTGCATACAGTACTCTGTCTTTGCAGAGTATTAGATCTATTGCTCTATTCCTGTTGTGCTGAGACTGATTCGTTTATGCTCTTTGCATAATAATATGAAGTGCATCTCACAAAAAAATTCTGATATCACACCAAAATCAGTAGGAAAAAAATCGAAAAAACATAGATTTTCATTAATAGTCAATCATTTTTTTGTTTCTTCACTATTCAATTATTTTTTTCCTGCGGTATGAATTTCTAATGCTGGGCATCCAACCAGTGATTGATAAATTACGGTCCCATGAAAACTCCACGTTAGATCGGTAAGTGCTGTATTTTGAGACGCATCATCCTCAAGTACTTGGCCGGGTTGTGTTGAGCTTAACATGCAGTCGTCTTTTATTACTCTTCAGGCATTTGGACTTCTTTGAGATGCTACGAAATGAAGATGAATTAGCCCTCGCTAAGCGGTTTGAAAATGTACGCTTGCTGTCTTAATTTGCCTCTAAATACAGGCCCTTTTTTTCAATAGTAATTTTATTGTCTCTTTGTTTGGTTCAGGTTCATATAGACACTAAAAGTGCTACTCAGGTGTTTGATCTCATCCGAAAGAGGATAAACCACACGGACGCCTTCCCACACTTTATGTCCGTCTTGCAGCACTGTCTTCATATGCCTTGTGAGTGATGCCACTTCCCCTGACCCTGCCACAACAGTGTGAACAAACAGACATATCATAATATTACCACATCATAACGAGTGCCACTAAAGAATACAAAATAATACCATGGCACATTATTTTGAACATGGCCCTATAGTAAAACCATGTGTTTTGATGTTTTTTTTTTATGAAAACGTAATTGCTTTTAGTGAATTTTAGTCAGCATTAAATTACATTGTACATTACCATTCGAAAAGTTTGGGGTCAGTAAGATATCTTTTATTACATTTTTTTATTATTTCTTATTTTTTTAAGGAATTTATACTTTTATTCAGCCAGAATGCCTTAAATTGATGACAGTAAAGACAAAAGATTTATAGTTCAAATAAATCCTGAATAAAAAGTAGTTACCACAGATATATTAAGCAGCAGAACTGTTTGTTTTCAGCATTGACAAAAATAAGAACTATTTTTGAGCACCAAATCAGCATATTAGAATGATTTCTGAAGGATCGTGTGACACTAAAATTCAGCTTTGGCATCACAAGAATAAATGGCATTTTAAAATGTACTAAAATAGAAGTTAGTTATTTTATATTGTAATAATATTTCACAAGTTTTTACTGTATTTTTGATCAAATAAATGCGGCTTTGGTGAATGTAAGAGACTTCTTTCAAAAGCAATAATAAAAAAAAATTCTTACAGACCCCAAAACTTTGAATGGTAGTGTATACAGTATATATGCATTATATCAGTCACTATAATAAACATTGTGAAGTCTGCTTGGAAATGTTGACCATCATCTCTTCTCTTTACTCAGACAAAAGAAATGGAAATACTGTGCAGTACTGGCTCCTCCTCGACCGAATTGTCCAGCAGATTGTCCTGCAGAACGAGAAGGGTCATGACCCAGATGTGGCTCCCCTTGAGAACTTCGACGTGAAGAACGTAGTGCGAATGTGAGTGAGAGATACGTGTCATTACATTTAACTAAATTGTACCCTGGTGTCCTCATTTTTTCTCATTTATTAATTTCCTGAGTTTTAATACTCTCCGAAATGGCCTGTCATATAATTTTTTGATTTAAGTAATTTTGCTCAGAAAAATATAATCCCAAATCCATAATCCAGACCCAAAGTAATTTTTAAGCAAGTAACCATTCACCTGTATCTAATCACATATTAGGAAAGAGCCAGACCTCAGATTTCGTTGCTTGATGTTTATAAACAAAGACCTATTTGGATTGAACATGACATTGACTGTGTGTACAGACTAAAAAGTTGGTGGTACAAGAGTTAAAATAAACACATCTTTGTGTCATCTTTCTGCATGGGATTAATTAGAAGTGAGACACAACTTCACTTTAGTTCAAACAAGTCGAAAGCTGAGAGACGGTCTGGGACAGTTTCAGTCAAATAAAAACAAATATGCAGAATGCATATGGAAAACATTTGGTGGTTTGATCAAATGTTACAGAGCTGAAGTTTGACTCTCATTTTAAGGGGCAACTCTGATCGCTTAACATTTCGCACCAAAGTTCCTTGGTTTCCTGCTGGTCCTACCCGACCAATATGAAGTCATCTTTGTGCTTTTTATGAATTATGAATGCCAAGTTTTGTGGTTTAGGGACACATTGAAAATGAACTATTTAATTATAATTAATTAATTAATTAAAAATACATCTCTGTATTGCAGAATAAACTGGAAGGGACTGTGTGGCTGGACCTGGACGACCTCAAAGTTTTCAAACAATTGGACTTAGAGGAGATTGAGAAAACATTCTCTGCTTACCAGAGACAGCAGGTAACTCATCAGTGACATAAAGGAATGATGAGAATCCTTACATGTCTGCTCCTTTATTATAAACGTCTCACACATTGTTCCAAATGCATTCTATGAGAAATACTGCAGTGTCAGGCAGTTTCTGTCCATCCCTCTGTATTGTATCACCTTTTTTTTTCTGCATGATGTTTACTCCTGCCCTTTTATATATTTCCTGATCTAACTAACACTTTCCCGCTTCTCGCTTGCCATAAAGGACTCTCTGTTGAATATCTTTAGACAGGTAAGTGGTCTTCGGACCTGACTCTTTTTAGTTTGGTGAGGATACCATGGTAATGCCATGCTTTTCGGACATGGTATTCTTTGAAGTACTTTGTTATAGTGACATATGAATGGTTGAATCTTGCAAATACATTTTCTGGTCATATTTCACCCCAAAATCACCATTAAAATCTAATTTAAATCATATTTGATATATTAAAATTAGTTTTTGCATTAAACTGTCTGTGCTTAAATGTCATTAAAAATGTCACAATGATAAAAAAAAAATCGTAATTAGTTTTAGATATGTACTATTCTTTCAAAATATAATTTCTTATTTTGGCTTTGAAATGAAATATGACGTTTTCTTGCATTTTTGTGAGATTTACCCAAATACCATTATATAAATATTGTAATCAGTAGGTAATTTGATATCAAAGTACCATCTATTGCATAGTACTTTTCATGTAATGTTCAGTGCATTCTTTATGCAGACAATCACCAAATTGTTGTCTTTTTGTAGCATAGCTTACAATGCAATGAACCAAAAGACCTATTTCAGTTTATTAGCCAGCATTTCAAGATGTCTCTGTTCGTAATTAGCCAAGTTGGTTATGAGGCATGCAGTTGGTTTTGCATGCATCTGGAGTTTATGCAACAGCGAAGGAGACAGATTTCCACCAACTAAAAAACAAATATCCCCCTATTCTTGGACACATTCCCTTTCACCCTCTTCCTCCTCTAAATAAAACCCGACGTGCCATCGTCTAAACACGCAATTTCTTGCTGTCTGCTCCCCAGCTGGCACTAAAGAGGAAGAGATGACTGTTTTCAGCCTCTGTTGTTATGGATGTCTGGTTGTGTCATGAGTATGTTGTCCTGTGTTTGAAAAATTACTCTGTTTGGCTTTTACTTTTGAGATGGCAGGTTTCTTGTTGTTTTCACATTTCACATTTATTTCACATTTTGCTGGAGTCCAAACCTGCATTTGATTGTTTCTAATCACTATGGTTCTGCTTTTAGACTATTATGGTGTACTGAACCACGCTACGTTTGCAAACGTTTTAGTCTTTAGTGTCACACCTGACAAGCACTCAAACTTTTTTTACCGATTCGCACTAAAATCCTCAAGTGTGAAATCATTACTAGCTTGCTCTCTCAGTATTTTGCTCTTCATTTCAGTGTGATATTGACCTTCAATGCATTCCATTCTTTGCAGAAAGAATCAGAGGATGACACCGTCACTTCTAAAAAGGTCAGAGAATTGTCTGTCATCGATGGACGGCGTGCACAAAACTGCAACATTCTTCTTTCCAAGTGAGTCTGTAAATTAGGAACCCACAGCCACCATCTTTGACCATTTAAGATTCATTCACAGTAATAAAACTTCCTGCATGACTCACAATAGAACAATTCTTTGTTTACTTAAGCCATTTTGTTGACGGTTGACGATGTGTTTAAAACACAATTGCAGCCAAGCGTTTTATTCATAAAATGATCCTAGCCAGGATTTTTTTCTGTTGCATCACAAGTCGCCATAGCAGCGGCAATAAACAGAGATGCCTGTGATCTCTCCCATAAGCTCACTTTATTTGTTTGATTAAAATGTACAGCTGTTAATAAAGCCTGGAATTTAGCAATTTTAAACCTTTACTGCACCTAGAAACAATAGTTCAGTTATTTTAGAACATAGTTTTTTGTGCATACTGTATTTATTTATTTTGGTTTATTATGTATTATTTTATTTGTTATTATTTATTTGGTTTATTCATTTATTAATTTGTTTGTTTATTTTGGTGTATTTTCTTTTATTTGTTTGGCCTCATATATTTATTTTGTTTTATTTATTTAGGATTATTTCTATCTATCTGTCTATCTGTCTGTCTGTCTCTGTCTGTCATAAACTGGCCCTTTTCTATGAACATAGTCAAGGATTTTTTAATCTTTTTGCATGTTGTGGTGTTGTTTTGTTTGTTTTTTGGTGAACTATTAGATGCCAAAATGGTCAATCTCAAGGAAACTGTCATATCCCCCCAAATTCAAAAGAAAAACGATACGGAAATATGACCAGATTATTTCTTTGTATGGGTCACTCAAAAATGAGGAGTGCCACATGCACTGATTTGCTCAAATTTTCTTTGCAGGTTAAAACTATCCAACGAGGAGATCAAGAGAGCCATACTGACCATGGATGAGCAGGAAGACCTACCTAAGGATATGCTGGAGCTGGTGAGATGCATCACCACATACTCCATCACTTAGCTCACACTTTAACTCATAACTCCAGGTGGCTCATGTACAAAACAAACCTGTTTTACTTTAGTGGATTGACGTCAAACATTTCAGAACTGTGATTACTGTGATACAGCGTCTGCACAGGCTGCAAATTTAATTACATAAGCCTGACAGTCCTAGCCAGCATGCAATTATTGTTTTGCAGAAGCAATTTTGGCAAGACACCATATCATCCTTGCATTTTTGTCATTCTGACTGATGGTGAAATTTGCTGTAGTTTGTAAAAATATAAAACATACCAAAGCCTTTTAATATTGTACCAGCTTTTCACGTGCCTGAGTAAAGTCAGTTGTGAAGCACATTAATGTGGCTTTTTGTAGTTTAATTAAAACCTGATCTAGCAATGTAGCTATATTGGTAATAAAATGCAGCTTTGTATACCTCACCCTGTTTAAACTTTAAAGCAAATCACCAAATAAGAGCAGCATGTAAATGTTTGTAACATTTTCCAAATGGACTTGAAAAGCAATATAATGGCAATCAGGTTTTATAACTCAATCTGATTGCTGTTGTTTTAATCTTAACAGTTTCAAACAGTTTAATCAAACAGTTATTGTAGTGTGATGAGGATGTGTATTCCATTAATAGGGCCACATTGCATTCAAATCACTTAGAAGGCCCAGGATATCTTGTTTTTCTCTTTCATAATTTATTCTCTAATTTTATTTTATGAACAAACAGACTGTTTTTGGTACTGTACCTTTAAGACTTTTCTTTCAAAATGATTTCTGATTGGTTGGCCCAATTTAGTCATTAGTATTCTTGCTCGCTTCCCCTGCAGCTGTTGAAGTTCGTGCCAGAAAAAAGTGATGTGGACCTTCTGGAGGAACACAAACATGAGTTGGAGCGGATGGCGAAGGCAGATCGCTTCCTTCATGAGATGAGCAGGTAACCATCAATTTAGGTCATGAAAAGCCACTTTGTTTGGGACATAATAAATAGAGATAACTTTCATCAGACTGGACAGAGCCATCAAAACACACAGTATCTACTAAATGGTGTTTCCGCACAAAGTTAAAGGTGGTGTAGAGGTCAGTATGTGGAAAATAAACAGTTTTACAGGATGACATTCTTATCTTGGTCTGTTTAGTTTCATGCTATAATAATCTTTGACTTTAGTTACCAAATGTGGTTTTCTTCAGTTTGGCATAAAGCCTGAAATTGGCTGAAACAGGTCTGGAAACATGTCGTCATTTTTTGACCTCTTCATTGTGCATCGTCATTAATCTCTGTAGAATGTCAGCCCACAAGGACATAAATTTAAAAGCCACGAAGAATGGGCGGCTCCATTTATTAAAAAAATAAAATAAGTTGTAGGTGTTATTGGACTATTTTTTATTATTATTTTAATACGGCAAACAGGACCCGTCTCTCACGAACAGGCATGCTTTAACAGAACAATGAAAAACCACAGAAGAATATTTGGCTGTTCAGATGTTTTCTAGCAATGCATTATGGGTACACCCCTTGTTAGTTTTCTTTCAGTATTCAGTATGCTTTATATTTTATATGAAATATTATTTGATATCAACTACCAGTCAATTGTTTGGACACATTTATTTTTTATTTTGACTATTTTCCACATTTTGCAATAAAAGTACAGTCGTCAAAACTAAGAAATAACATAAATGATAATGTTTATTGAACTTATAGTTGATCAATTTAGCAGGAGCAATTCAAATGTATACACTATATTTGTCAGCAAAATTAATTTCAAACATTGAAGCAGAAGCCTTTAGATCAAGAGGTTTTCTTTGGACACATTTTTACTATATTCCTCTTTATATATTTTTACTATATATAATATTTTTACTGTATTCCACTTTTTACTATATTCAATTTGAATATGAAAGTCATTAAAATAATGCAAATGTTATTGTTAAATGAATCAAAACGTTAGCACTAGAAATTTGAATTTAGACCATTTGTAATTGCCACCAAAACAAATTTCATTTAAGCAGAAACCTTTAGGTTTAAGATCATAAGAAGCTTAAATTCAGCTGTATCCAAACTTTCGTCTGGAAATATAAATTAGATATTATCATACATTTGATGGTGTTTTATTTCAATTCTGCTTTTAAACCACAGAATCGACCACTACCAGCAAAGACTGCAGTCTCTTTACTTCAAAAAGAAGTTTGCAGAAAGAATAGCAGAAATCAAGCCGAAAGTGGAAGGTAAATTCTTAGACAGTTCTGTTCTCTACTAGACTTGTGTGAAATTAAGCATATACACACCTTGTAGGTTAATGCAAGGTGTAGGTGTAATATTAAAAATGCTGTTTTTCTCCCTCAGCTCTCAGTAGAGCCTCTAAGGAGGTTCTTCAGAGCAAGAATCTTCGACAGATTCTGGAGGTGGTGCTGGCCTTCGGTAACTACATGAACAAAGGCCAAAGGGGCAATGCTTATGGCTTCAAAGTGTCCTCTCTCAACAAGATCGCTGACACCAAGTCCAGCATCGAAAAGTAAGACAGGGCTTCAGTTTGTGCGAGTACTGTATATTAAATGCCTACCAGCCATGCAGTTACACAAGCTGTGTGTTTCTCAATAGGAACGTCACTCTGCTGCACTACCTGATTACCATTCTTGAGCAGAAGTACCCTAAAGTCAGCCTGATTCATGAGGATCTGCACAACGTGCCAGAAGCAGCCAAAGTCAAGTACGCACCTAAAATGATCAAGTCTCACTATTACACCCACTTAAGAGTTTCTGTGTCTCCAAAAAGAGTGTATGTAATAGAGAGATAATGTAGGAACAACACTGGGTTTGGTATAAGTTAAGCCTAATTGACAGAACTTTGTGGCATGTTGATTAGCACAAAAATTTATTTCCACTCTTGTCCCTTTAAACAAAACAAAATGTTGGCTAAAATAGTAAAGCACTTAAAATGGAAGTGAGAAGGGCCAATCTGTAAAAGTTAAAATACTCACTGTATCGACAGTACAGCAACAAGTGACAAACAATGCAATATTAGCATAATTTATTTAGTTTGAAAAACTCACTTACTGACCTTTTCTGTATAAAGCTGTATCCTATTTGTAGTGACAATGGAATGCCTTAAACCCAAAACCGGCAGTAAAAAGATGATTTAAACAGCTTCAAAGCTCAAAGGTTTTAAGAGAAGAATTAATGTAAGTGCTTTTATAAAAATCATAGGCTTTACATTTCTGCTTCTATTCATGGGATGAGTAATTATTTTTGGGGTAATCAGTGTTATACCACAAATGCTTCTTTTTTAAAGAAATAAATTATTTTGTTCAGCAAGGGCGCATTACATTGATCAAAAGTGGCAGTAAAGTATTTATAATGTTAGGATCCTGTAAAAAATGTGTCTCAGTTTTCACAAAAATATTGATAAGAAGAAATGTTTCTTGAGCAGCAAGTCAGCATGTTCGAATGATTTCTGAAAGATCATGTGACGCTGAAGAAATTCAGTTTTGCATCACAGGAATAAATTACAATTAAAATGTATTAAAACAAAAAGCTTATTCTAATTTTTCCCAATATTGCCGTTTCTATTTTTGTTCATATAAATATACCTCTGTGAGCATAAAATACGCCTTTAAAAAAATGGTTTACTTAACACCCAACTTTTCAACAGAACTTTGTATTGAACCCTGGAATATTCCTTTAACAACCAGATGTTAGGCATAAGATTAGTGCTGAGAGCCTGAACAGTTTCAGCCTATCATGTCAGCTCTCATTTTAGGGGTAATCACTGCTTTCGCTGGAGTTTATTGGGCTTCTGTCCGTCTGTGTGGACATTGAAACTGCTGGAAACATGGACCGTAATCTTTAACTGCCATAGGCTGAAGATCCGTTTCAAAGGCAGGTCGTCTCCTCTAGTCTGATCCTGCTCATGGAGCTGCACATGGGATGGATTTGATGCTGCCGCAGTGGTTGAATATTATGTTGGGATCTAGCTGGTTTTCTAAAGGGTTGGCAAAGGTACAGATTAAGGTTTGAACTTAGTGAGAAATTAAAGATCTGTCAACCATATCTGGATACCTGTCTCATTTCATTATATTCATACACTACCATTCAGAAGCTTGGGGTCAGAACGTTTTTTAATTAAGGAAATGTATATATTTATTCAACAAGGATGCAAGTGATCTAAAGTGACATTAAAGACATTTATAATGTTACGAAAGATTTATATTTCAAATAAATTCTGTTATTTTGAACTCTGTATCAAAGAATCCTGAAAAAAATTTATTGGTTTCCACAAAAATATTAAGAACAACAACATTGCAAATAATTATGTTTCTTGAGCAGCAAATCAGCATATTAAGCCTCGTACTCACCGGGACGATTATCGCGTGCGCTTATCGCCGACATTTTTCGATGCGTCTTTTGTGTTCATACTCAAGCAATTTTCTCTGGCGATGAGCCAAGTGAACGTGCAAATTCACTCTCTGACATTAGATGCCACTTAAAGAAAAACAGAAATAACCCGGTACACATCGAATCCTATTTGATCTGCAATTCCTCTCAATAACAACAAGATTTTTGTAGTCGCTGTCACGTTTGTCATAAAGCCCTTTGTGTTCAAACACCAATGAGACCAGCAGTGCTACATTCATCTTGCCTCGATGCATCTTCTTGGTCTACTTACTTCCTCTTCGTCGTTAGGTATCAATGTGTCAGCATCAATCAATGAGCGAAGACCGTTTTGTGCTTGAGCACCACCAAGTCGTGTTTTACTGTAACTTCAGCAGCTCCAGCATGTGAACAAAAGCGACAATCTCATTGGTCGGCCAGTTTTTAATGCGGCGCGTCAAACCAAAAAAACGAGCCATTAAAAAATGATGCTTTTACGCCTCGCGTTTTGCGTGTCGGTGTGCACACTCACATTGGCGCCCTTTGTTTTGTCACGAGGCGTTAAACGTCGGCGATAATCGCGCGCGATATTCGTCCCGGTGTGAACAAGCCTTTAGAATGATTTCTGAAGGATCATGTGACACTAAAGAATGGAGTAATGACTAATTAAAATTCAGCTTTGTCATCACAGGAATAAATTCAATTTGAAAAGAAATTGAAATAGAAAATGCTTATTTAAAATTTTATTTAAAGGGGTCGTTGCTAAAAAATAACATTATTTTGTGTATTTGGTGTAATGAAATGTGTTTGTGGTTTAAGGTTAAAAAACACATTATTTTCCACATACTGTACATTATTGTTTCTCCTCTATGCCCTGCCTTTCTCAATTTTTTCAAAGCTCATCGTTCTGAAAAGCGAGGTGTGCTCAGATTGGTCAGCTATCCAGTGCGTTGTGATTGGCTGAATACCTCAAGCGTGTGACTGAAATGTTCCGCCCCTTACCATACTGTGATGCCGTGTCCCGGCACGACGAGTCAAAACCAATAAACCCCATTATAAACGAGGCATTTGTTGCATCCAGTGGGGATATACAGTAATTACTGATTATAATGACTTATATTGTATTTGTGATCGGAGAAACGATGAACAACAAGCGCTACTCTATACTGCTCAAAACTCATGTTTGAATCATCAGTAGCAAATTCTTTAAATATGAAAACGTACTTACAGGCTGTGAGTCAGCATTATTTGTTAGCATCATAGACTGTATAGGGTCAGCATGGGCACAGAAGGGGAAACAGAGGAACTGAATTCACCGGAACACTGGCATTGTAGGCTACTCTACCAGGATCAGGAAACAGTCCTCGTCCTCCATAAAATGCGCTGTGCACATTTGAATATTTGGGTTGTACTGTTCTAGAACAGTGTTGTAAATACAACTTAACCACTGATTTCTAGTTGTGTCCTCTTTTGGAAGACCAAACAAAGTAGTTTCGCTTTCGCAACGAAACACAGCGTCTCCACGACATGGCGGCGGCAGCAACAATACTACAGTGAGAATCAAAGTTCCTTCTTTCTTTGTGTGAACATTTGGGCAGCGTTATGCAAATCTTCCCACACAGTGACGTAGACATGTGTTTAAACAAGGCGTTTTAGGAGGGCGTGGACAAGTCTTAACTTTTATAAAGAATATCTCTTTGTGTTTGAGACTTTAGTCTTTGCAACTTCAGGGATCTTATCTATTCACGAACAGCTTGTAACACTCCAAAGAGAAAGGAAAACTTGAAATCGCATCATATGATCCCTTTAAAATACATGGAAAACATGAAAAAAAAAAACCTTACTGACTCCAAGCCTTTAAATGGTAGTGTATATGACAAGAAAATCACTATTTTATTCTAGCAGCCTGGACAATTAGGCTGAAAAATGTAAAAAAAAAATGTATGACAATTTTTTACTTCTTTTTTTGAAATTTTTATTATTACTTACCAAGTTCAAGTACCAAAGAAAAAATAATGATTATATGACAAAGAATCACTCTCCTAAATGTCTTTGTCTTTCATTCTACACAGTTTGAGAAGGCTGTGAAGCACTTCGGTGAGGACGCCACACGCATGCAGCCTGATGAGTTCTTTGGCATCTTTGATCAGTTCCTACATGCCTTCAGTGAAGCTAAACAGGACAATGAGAACATGCAACGACGCAAGGAGGAGGAAGAGCGCAGAGCCCGCATGGAGGCGCAGGTAGTGTGTCAATAAGCATGCATTGTGTCCATCTCAAACACATCCACATGCATCCCTTTGCAAGATCCTCTCTAAATGTGTTGTACTAACACACATCATTTTGCAATATAAAAATTTGGGGTCTGTAAGATTTCATGTTTTTAAAGAAGTATTTTATTCTTACCAAGGCTGCATTTATAAGACCAAAAATATTATGAAATATTATTACAATTTAAATATTTTTTGACATGCTTTATAACATAATGTATTCCTGTGATGGCAAAGCTGAATTTTCCAGCATCATTATTCCAGTCTTCAGTGTCAATATGCTGATTTGCTGCTCAAAAAACATTTATTATTATCACTGTTGAAAACAACTGTGCTGCTTAATACACTGAACAAAATTATAAATGCAACACTTTTGTTTTTGCCCCCATTTTTCATGAGCTGAACTCAAAGATCTAAGACTTTTTCTATGTACACAAAAGGCCTATTTCTCTCAAATATTGTTCACAAATCTGTCTAAATCTGTGTTAGTGAGCACTTCTCCTTTGCCGAGATAATCCATCCACCTCACAGGTGTAGCATATCAAGATGCTGATTAGACAGCATGATTATTGCACAGGTGTGCCTTAGGCTGGCCACAATAAAAGGCCACTCTAAAATGTGCAGTTTCACATACACATACATTCAAAATGCCATCAATAAAATGTACCTGTGTTCGTTGTCCATAACATATGCCTGCCCATACCATAACCCCACCGCTACCATGGGCCACTCGATCCACAACGTTGACATC